TTATACATTTTTTTTAGATGTAAACTGTTTTCAAGATATGATTGATTGTTGTTTGCCTACCGTTCAGTCGCAAACATTTCATATGAAAATAAGGAAATGTGGTATGATTGCCAATGAGATGCCTATTTTAAACGAGGATAAACCAATATAAGCATTAAAATTTTGAACTAGCTGCTAGTAACTGCGAGTACTCTCAGATCTGTACTTAGTGTCTTTTTGTTATGGGGACGTATAAGTATCCTGCCACGTCCACTCTGTGTTTTTGTTACTTGTTTTTTTTTTTGGTTTGTATCTATCTGATGAGTTAAGCCCTTTTCAACTGATTTTTATAGTTTGTTCATATGTTGTACTCTTACATCACTATCCCAGGTTAGGGGAGGTTTGGGCGCCCGCTAACATGTTTAACCCTGCCTTATTCTGTATGTGCCTGTCCCAAGTCAGGAGCCTGTAATTGAGTGGTTGTCGTTTGTTGTTGTATATCATATTTGTTTTTCTTCATCATTTTGTACATAGATCAGGCCGTTAGTTTTTCGTTTGAATTGTTTTACACTTGTCATTTCGGGGCCTTTTATAGCTGACTATGCGGTATGGGCTTTACTCATTGTTGAAGGCCGTACGGTGACCTATAGTTGTTAATTTCTGTCATTTGGTCTCTTGTGGAGAGTTGTCTCATTGGCAATCATAACATCTTCTTATTTTTATATCAAAATAAATCTTTTACACTAATGAAACCAAACAAATGTAAATATATGCAGTGCTAAGGTTTAAAACTGACATATTTCCGTTCACTTTAGTATGTATACGATTGATTATAGGCTGTCCGACGGCTAGGAGGCGAAACAATGTACCAAGAATGCCTAGATTTGAGAACTAAAATACTTGACCAGTCTAATCACGAACTTATGAAGGAGATAATGCAGTCGCATGATCAAACAGAAGAGCTGAAACAATCAGTTCAATGTCTGAAGTTATCTTATAATTCTTTAAAAAGTGACCATACCTTGATGTCAGAAGAACTGGATAAGATAAAGGAAAGTATTCCTTGGAACAAAGGTAGATACATATATTTATACATTGACGGTATTTGTAGAATTAAGTATCGGAAGATACATGCAACCAATTGAGCCGACTGCAGTATTCCTATTTCGGAAGGGGGAAAGGGTTAATATTTTCGTACTCCTCAGTTCCGCTTAATGAAATTGCAGATCTATGTGTTATATTATTTGGTCCGCGTGTATGTTGATTAACGTTAAAAGAGGACTTGTATATTCGAAATTATCGAACTATCGAAATCCAAATTTGTTTTATTTAAAAAAAAAGATAACATGAACATTGAATGTTATTTGAAATGTACTGCGGATCCAAATGAAAAGGGAACAAACTGTCGTTAAAGGAGTCCTTACATTTAAAAAAAAAACGTCAATGCTTTGAGATAGTAAATAACCATTTTGAAGACTCAGTGAATTAAACATATCCCAAAAGAAATACAAAAAGACAAATAATAGTCAACTAAAAATGCAAAAATTCTAAAATTCCAAAAATTTAGCAACATGTTCGGAAAATAAAATATTTCCCTCACCACTAGTAGCGCTCGCCAAGGTGCAAAATTATGTCGATTAATCTTTCACTGTAAATTTCCATATGTATGTTGCAACATTCCGATGGCACACATCACACATATGGAGTACAGTTCTCGAAGTTGGTACGATATTCAAAAGCTATGTTTCCTTTCACATACTGCATACAAGGAATGTAGTAAACCAAGGACGGAAAAGGTGAAGTGTGAAATAACGGAATGAAAATTTATTTAGACTAAGGTTAAACCAAATTAAATGTCAGAGCTTTGATCACATTCAGTAAATCCTGTTATATATACGATGAGTTTCTTTGTAGTTTATGGTGCATTTCTTTAACGATATACATTCATGTCACTAATTGAACGTAACGGAGCTGTGCCTTTTTTAATCGATTGGCACTGTTTTAAGATGTTCTTTGTAATGATTGGACAACAATTAGGAAGTTTGAGAGGCTATAAAAATCATAAGTCGACAACACAAAAAGTCAGGCAACAAATAATCTTCAGAAAAACTAAGATTGAACAACACGGACTCCTTTTGGTAGTCATAAATGTGCTCCGGAACTAGTGGCATCCGTCGTGTTCATAGCAAGTAAACATTTGGCAAAAAGTGGCATAAAATGATGTCACAATAAAAAAAAAGCACAGTATTGTGAATATGGCAAGTGGAACATGATACTTAGTCATCTGCAACACAGATATTCCATAATGGGTAACCAAATTGTGGTGGCGTAAAGCACGATGCATATTTGCCTTTTTAACGTTTACTTTTCGTATGAAAACCAGAAATTATGCATTTAACAGAAATTTTCTAACAAATCATGTTTGTAGATGGATGTAGTGGCACACTTGATGATACTGTTCTGGAGGGCAATAACAATCCTGACCCATTGAACTCTTTATGTTTGTCAAACGTACAAACTATACACACTCTACATTTGACTGTTCAACAGAAGCATGCCAGTAGTTTAAACGTCTTTGGATCTGGATGTACGATTGGCAACGTGATCATGGGTGATCAAAACATCATAAATTATGCTAAAGAAGAGGCAGCTCAGTCAGATATTACTCATACCTCAAAGTAGATGAGGATTTCACAAAATTCGCGAAATTACGAAAAGTTAACTTAGATGACAATTTATCTTATTTGCTGCATGAATTATTTAAACACTTGTATAAACGCGTTACGATATACTAGTATCTAAACATGTGGGTTTTTTAATTAATAGAGTATCACTATTACTATTCCTACTGTATTTACAAATACAAATGGGTTAGTTAGATATTTAGTTTAGCTTCTACACCCTTGTTTGTAAACCGTTCTAATTGTGTTTAAATTTTGGTAAATATGGAACAAAGAGAATTTCGTATACCTTTCTATTAATGTGCGTAAATTCAATTTCCTGAAATAACAAGTCGATCAAAGATACCAGGCTTATAATTGTGTACGCCATACGCACGTTTCGTCTACACAAGACTCATCAGTGACGCCCCAATCAACCCATTTGTTCATATATAAGATGGTAGACCATTCTAGTTCAGAACTTATGGAGTTCAGTTGAAGCAAAATTGTTAAAAATTTAGTCTGCAATTATGTATACCTTTATTTAGAAAAATGAAAAGTATTTAATTTTGTCATTACAATGTATTTATATTTGGCTGCTCAATTTAGTATTTCTGTTGAATGACTTCAACACATTGATCGCTATATCAGCAGCTTTGGAAATGGTAAAGACACTTTATTACGTTTATTGTAGAGGTTTTGTGTCTCTAGATGTTTCTTGCGGTTTTTTTAATGAAGTGTTGCTGTCTCATTAACAATTTTTATTATTGCACAACAACAAAGATATACTATTTTACCATCATAGATATATTGAGGGTTTGCTTAACGTCCAGTGGCAAATATTTCGTATCAAAGTATTCATTGATGCATAATTAGAGTGCGGTCGTTAATAAGACCAAAACAGTTTAGACTGCACAATTTCAAATGAATAACAAAATAGATTGTAAAAATAATATTGACACAGACGACAATGCCATCCTGATTTTTTAATAACTAACAAAACAAGTAGATTAATACGAAAATGAACAGAATTACAATCTCGCATGCTGCACAAACATTGATCCTTCTTGTTATTGTGAATGTTTATGCAATTATTGTAAATCATGACCAACCTTATTATTAATAAATTAAAATAAATCATTCAAATATGTTTTGTATGCATGTGTACAGATGGCTGCTCGTAATTTAATACAACATATGCCACAAGATTCATGTTTCATTCAATGATCGATTCGAAGGTTGTTGTGCCTTCATTTGACATTCTATAATGAAGGGATCATATTTCTTGGAGACGTTTTAAAGACATAAAATATTTAAGAAAATGTGTTTTATACCCGTCTTTCATATTGACGAAGATGTTAAATTCAAACAAATCGACATGATTTGCTGCGTTCGGAACTTTTCTATATTATATGTACGCTCAGAAACAAACGTATGAATAATTACACGACGAAATTATTTCTATGTCTTAGACCATTCTTGTTTTTCAAATTTTCGAAACCTACCAAACAACAAGAATGAAAACCGCACTCATAATTAAAAGATTGATTGCTGCTTGTTGAGCATGCGTGACTTATATTTCATGCATATTCAGGACAATCAGAAATCTAAATCACACCTATAAACATTTCATGTAGTCTGATGCCATTAACATGAAAAGATTCATAAGTGAACATATTTAATTGACGTACTGTAAATGCAATTTCAAGTAAGGACAAAATAAAGAACAGTATCCATTTCATCAGTGCAAACATCTAAAGGACAACATGTTTTCTTTTATTTTCGGGTTTTGGGCGTACCCATTCGCGAGCTGTGTTGCAGACCTTAATTAGTTCAAAATATCAAGTGTGTAGACTAGTATTTTATAACTCAAGATATTTTTCAACATCATGATCGTTGTAAGATTTCATTTAAAACCACTTTTTCAAGTAGGAGGAAACCGAAGAAGTGTCTGTCCGTGTTAAAGCTCCAACCTTTGTCAAGTGGTAAGGTCTATTGCATATTGATATGTTACATGTTTACTGTGCAATCTTTTGCTGGAGCAAGACTCGAACACATACCATACAGGTCAACATGATCTATATGGGTCAATGAAAAAATGAAACAACTAATACCACTAGACCACTTGGGTCCGTAATGTCTAAATCTTACATCAATAACATTATCAGTCCTTTTTCTGATTAAAGACCATGACAACTAGAGTATACTCTCTGTTACTTATTTTCCCAGTTACAAATTGTGTGAAATTTATGTCGAGCTTGATATAATATTGAACTATCAATAATGGACAGTAGAAGTAGAAATAATCTAACCTTGACGAGCGAATGGCGAGATACTACGCTGCATATTTGTAATAAAATATTGAATTGATAATTTATTTCAAAGGCTTATATATATATGAAAGTTGGCATGACCATACATTAATACTTTTTTTTCTCCAGAAACAACAATATCATGTTTGTTTTGCATTGACTTATCTTTTCCATCCTTTTTAACTGAATGCAAAAAAATCAAAAATGAGAAATGAATAAGTAGACCTTCATTTTAAACTATCAATTGTACATTCCATTTACAAGATAGTCAATTCTAGAGTAATGTCGTTTTTGCCAGCTATCAAAACAACGTTTTCCTATTAGAACAAGAACAGCAAAGAAGAATAATATTCCAAAAGACAGTGCTGCTATGAGGGCGGCGGATAGCACATTGGACTCTTCCTTTTCTTCCTTCATTTGGTTAGTATCAGCAAAAGTTATGTTCAGATCTCCTGTAAATTGACAAAATATGAATGATTAAAACTATGTTTGCTCTTATATATATTTACATTATCAGGGGTAGATATGTAAATTTGATCAAAGACAAGTTGTAAAAGATGTTTGATAATTAGTATCAACTGAATCATTCGGAACGACAAACGCATTAACATATCATGATTCTCACTTACCAATATTCAAACCATATAATTATATTACATGTATGTTTTATGTGAATCCTTAATTTTGATTGGTTGACAACAATCGTGAGGCAGTCCAATATCATATTTTATTTCATTTTATAACATATAATGACTGCACGTGATATACGTGACAATGTTGAAATAATGCATTAAAAAATCTTGATTTAACTCTTCATGGTTGTAGCATACTAATGTAATTATAAGAATTACATGCTTCTTTTTATGATTTCATAGCGTTGTAAAAGCTTTGATTCGTATGCACATTTTTAATATGAATAGCTTTCACCAAAAGCAAATAAAATTATAAAAAGAGGCATTTAATTATTAAATAAAGCATAACAGACGGTAAATATAAAACTGTATGTAAACACAATAATAATAAGGTATAATAAACAAAACACTGGACATTCTGTTGTTCATAATTTCTTATTTCCAATTTGACATTCGGAAGTTCCAAGTTGACATGTGTCAGTTCCAAGCTGACATTTGTCAGTTCCAATTTGACATTCTCAGTTCTAAGTTAACATTTGTCAGTCCCAAGTTGACATTTTTCAGTTCCAAGTTGACATTTGTCAGTTCCAAATTGACATTGGAAGTGAGAAATGTCATGTTAATTTCAAGTTTGATATGAGAAATTTTCAAAACATAACATCCCTACCGGTTTTTGTAAAAACGACTATTTCAAGAAAGCGTATGACGTATTTGGCACCACTTGCATTGCATAATTAAGCACAATATACATTAACCAATTTTAATCAACTAATAACATAATAACAAACAAAGGTAATTTTGATGAAAAAATAAAAATAAGCAAGTTTAAAAGTAAAATTGACAAGGACTGCTGCAAAAAAATACGTGCTACACAACATAATGTCTATATCAAAGTTTACATGAAACCCGAAGGCCAATGCATGCACGGGAATTTTGTAGGTTTATTTTATCTAAATTTGATAAAATCATTGTATATGACGGAAGCTTAAAACATCTTCTATCTAGACAATACATTTGTCAAAGATTTCTAAAATAATTAAGACACAATTTCTAAAAATCCTGCAATAAAATCAGCGTTGAAATAGAAAATAAAATATTACACAAATAATACAGTTCGGCTAATAAATAAAGTAACAATTATCTATACCCAAGCAAGAATTCTTGTCCGATAAAGTGCAAATATTCTAAAAAACGATTTGAACATAACAGAAATTATTCAAGCACTCGACGCTAAATATGTGCTGTAAGTATCAAACTGACACATTTTTGTTATGTTTTGTGAACGGAGTACCATTTAACGGATCATTCAATATCCAGAAAGATAAACTTATAGAAAATCAATAATTATAATTTAAAAAAAAAAACGCTTGGTGAAATATAAACATGGAAAGATCTCATATTTCGTTATCAATTGGCAAGCACCTGCACATTATTTCAGTGTATCAACCGGACAGTGTCTACTTATATAAAAAATGCTGTCTAGACTAATTGCAAATGGTTTGAATAGAATATCTGGACGATATTTTACCCAATTTGAATAGTAGGACCGATCAATTTATTAACTAAAATAATTAGATTAAAAATAATCATAGCTACTTTAGTAGTAATTACTTTAAAATTTTATTGTGGACAAGAATAAATGCCATTTTTTTTACTAGACACTAAGTTGCTACAACACAAATATCAAGACAGAGCGTTTTTAAAGTGATTATAATTACCAAAGAAAATTGTGTTATTTTGAATTCTAATTTCATCATTAAACACCGTTTCCGATATTTCGTTATCCGGTACAATAACTGAAGCTGTGTTACTCATAAGAGTTTGGTTATATGTCTGAATGGCACCTGCTGAATCATTCCAAATGGTTGATATTACTATATCAGCAGTTGCTGACGCTGGTGTTACATGTATTAAATCTTGCACTATTTCAGAGGTGAAGTTAATATCTGCAGACACTGTTTGGTTAGGGGTTTTAATTGACAGTATGTTATCAGACAAATTGTTCATTCCTGCAATTAATACATAAAAGTATTGTATGTATCAATAAATACTTAAAATATGTTTTCATGTTTATATGCATAATTTTATCTGTAAACGCGTTTTAGATATGCGTTTCTTCTAAGAAAAAATAATACCTCGCAAAGGGTGCCGTGAGTTTTAAAGAGTGAATGAAAATACAGTATTTTGTTTTTTGCACTGCAAATATGACGTGTCGGTAAATAAGATTGACTTAATGTAACTAATCATATTTTTGTTTACATTTTGAAAAATAAATCATTCAAGCTAATAAAAACTGTAGGAAAATTTAAACAAAAACAGTACCACGTTTTTTTTTCAAAATTGAACAAACATTACTTCGATCATTTTCTGAATAGTTCACGAAAAAATAAAAATCATAACACTTTGCACATCATTTGGAACTGTAAAAATATTTTCAATAGAATAAAACATGCATTGAAAACTGCAGAAGTCAAAGAACGGACATGTTTGTGTACCTGTATTTGAGGGACGGATATTGGTAAAACAATATTACCTTCGGGTGGGGGCAAAACAGTATTTCCGAGTTCAAATCTATGTTCTGAAAATATTTGTAGAGATTGTGGGCACATTAGGTTTGAAGCTACTTCAAATTCAAATATTTTCTATCCTGATATGTTTAGGAAACCACATTCAACCTAAGAATAGTCTTTTAAAATAAAAGAAGCAATGGACAACTTTTATATCCTGCTTTAGTTTTTAATAAATCATACACATACCTGTTGTAATTGGTTTTTCTGTTGACTTCGACATGTTACTTGATTCTGTTGTTGGTTGGTTTGTGACTATCGTTTGTGTATCATTGCCTGATGTTGTTGTTTCTTTAGTTGTCGTCGCTTCTTTTGTGCTCAAATATTCGGTTGTTTCTTTTGTTGTTAATTCCGTTGTCATCATCATAGTAGTTGTTGTAGTAGTTGTTGATGTTGTTGTTGTCATCGTCGTTTTAGCTGTTTCATTCACTATGTTCGTAAGATTTAAAGCTTTCGTCAATGTATTCAATATTGAGTTTGTAGTAGTAATCTTCTTCGGTGATGTAACATTATGTTGTGTTGTCATTGCATGATTAAGTGTGGTTTCCAGTTCTGTCATATTCGCCATGTTTGGCTCAGAAGTAGTTTTAGTTTCATTAAGTAATACTGTTTTAGTTGATGTATTTGCAATGTTGTTTAAAGTCGTTTGAGGATGAACAACGCTTGATTTATTATTACCTTGTTCGGTTGAGACCACGATCGATGGTTGCAATGAAGCTTTAGTTGGATGTTGGTTTGTAGCTAATACCATTTGATTAGTTACTGTACTACTTCCATTACTTTGTTTTTCCACAGTGGTTGACGATATATTTTGAGTTGTAGAACTAGCAGATGATGTCAGTGAAACGGGACTATTTGTTTTATTTGTTGTTGCTGTTGTTAATGGATTATTACTGGAAGGAGAACTGTTTGTATTCGTTGACGCAGCAGGGTGTGAAGCCAATGTTATGGAAGTGGTACCTTTCGTTGTGAGATTGTTCGTATTTGTGGATAAAACAGACGACGACAAGAGAGGAAAGTTGGTGTTCCCTGTATTTAGTTCCTGTTTCAACAAATCTGTATCAATGTCAGTATCGTTAATGACTTCTAAAACTTTTTCTCCTATAAATTCCTGATCTTTTGGGGGTGGATCCGTAGTATCAATTTCATTTTGTATAGTGGTTGTATCATCCTTATCTCTTTTTAAAACATAACTTATAATGGAAACGGAGTCTTGAAACTGACAATTTTCCAATGGTAAACATTTGTATAAGAAACAATTATCACCGGTTACAGCAGCCAAACTTTGATTGAAAGAGGCAATGTTACATTTGTCTGAAATTAATAATAGAAGTGAAATTATAAAATGCAATATGTAACAATATATGACCTCTGCCTTTAAATTAATTTCTATGTTTAAGATAGAGGAGTTCCGAAAAGCGTAAAATCCAACAACAACAAAAAACAAAAAGAATCAGACATCAGAATGAGCTACCATTTGTTGAAAAAGCTGATATTCATTTTTTTTCTTGTATTTAAGCACTAACTGTTTTACTTTTGAAAAGATGGGACAGCTAGGTTCGCATTTTAAGTAAGAAATATTCCCACAAACAGCAGATGCGTTATAAAATAAGTAATTTGATAAATGTTGAGAATGGTTTTTTTTTCACCACCTTTATCATTGTAATGTGTCGATTACTTGCAACGTTTACTTGAAAGGAGAAAATCGAGTACACGAAATATTGTTTGCTGTGAATGCAAAATGAACCCGCGTGAAATAAATATCTGGTTTGCAGACAATCTCCCAAAATTTATAAATCAAACGCCAATATTATTAAGTGAGACTGTATCCATCAATCATTTCCCAAACTCTAATGATTGCTTCCAGTTCGTAGTACGGTCCTCACTGAATAAAATCAGGAAAATGTGTGAGACGTTATTCGAATCTGTTGCAACTGTATTTGTTACAAGAGTACAGAATAGAGTTTATCTTTCTGTTCTTTCATTTCAGTCAGTTTTGGTTATTACATTTTTGCTGTTTTCACAATTACAAATTTAAAATTTGAGGTATCATTATACGATGTAATGAAATAAAGAAACACTAGAGATATAATTAAGAAAACAGAAAATTTTACATGATAAAGACAAGCAATACGTTCCGGTTTAATTCATTTATTAATTTGAGACGAAACGGGTAATATAAATAATACGAAAAATAAGAAAATATGAAATAAGGAGATGTGGTATGTTTGCAAATGAGACAACTACTAGTTAAACTACCAGAGAACAAATGACGCAGATTTTAGTATGTTTGACCTACCTGTATTACAACATTGCTCTAAACAGGATTCACGTGAATTCTCATTTAGGGAGGACAACTCTTCGGCACTTGGGTTAGTGAATGAGAACATCATGTCCACCAAAGGAGCATCAAAATGTGTTTCTGGTCCACAATGGTTAATAGTTTGAATCAGATGAAAATTAACGATAGTAAAAAATAGAAGGATGAACATGGTACGCCTTTTTCTTGTTTTAACTGGTTCCTGTAAGAGATCAAAGTTAAGAAAAAACAAATTTATTGCAAACTAGGATAAATGATTTATGGTTTTAAAGAGGTTGAATAAAAACCCTAGTCATGAACTTCAAATTCAATAGTACATGTGCAGACTAAATAATTTTGTACACAATAATAGCAGGGTGCCCAGTGTCCAAAACGTCCTCTAGTTAACGAGTTTACGTTAACGGAATAACAAGAGGCTATTTTTTATTTTTTTTTGCAAATTATAGGTAAATCATTATATTTTACAACCAAGATTGTCGTTGTAAGTTCCCGTTATTTTCCAAATTTCGTGTTTTTACAGGGTACCCCCAGATACCGTTTTGTACAGGGAATCTTTAACTTGAAACATAAAATTTGTTGCACTCTTTGTTGGTGATAGAAATAGTACTTATAATATATAGATATAAGAAGATGTGGTATGAGTGCCAATAAGACAACTCTCCATCCATGTCACAATTTGTAAAAGTAAACCATTATAGGTCAAAATACGGCCTTCAACACGGAGCCTTGGCTCACACCGAACAGCAAGCTATAAAGGGCCCAAAAAATTACTAGTGTAAAACCATTTAAACAGGAAAACCAACGGTCTAATCTATATAAGAAACGAGAAACACTTATGAACCACATCAACAAACGACAACCACTGACCATCAGGTTCCTGACTTAGGACAGATGCAAACAAATGCAGCGGGTTTAAACGTTTTAATAGGCGCAAACCTTCACCCTACCTGAAACAATAGTGTAACATCACAACATAGAAAGACACACTATAAAATATCAATTGAAATGGCTTAACTCAATCAAAAGACATATTAACAAAAACAAGTGAACATACACTGAACGAATAAATTTGATCTATGACACAATGTAAATACAAAATTACTACAACAAGTGGGTAAATGTAAAACAATATCAGAAAGACAACCATAACCTTGGACAAATGCCGCCAAATAAAATAACGTACACAGGTAAATTAAAATAATTTTGTTGTAAGGTATACATGGAGTACGGAAATAATTATAGTTTGTATATCAAATATATCATATAACGAAAGAGGAAAGTATTGAAGTGTTTTAGTGTAAATATTTCAGCATTTTAGTAAGACTAAAATTTTGCCCGAAATTTGCTACATTTTCATCGAAAGCAAAATCATTACGTGTATCATCACGATATGTTTTACTCTGATTAAAGCAATAAGACACAGTGCATGTGTGTGCCAAATTTCATGTGTGAAATAAAAGTCGTTTTGAAGAAATTAGCAATTAAAAACACAAATTTAGTCAACATTTTAACATTGATTAAACACGGATTATTTCGTGCCATTAATCATTTTGTTGCTTACACTATTAGGTCGTTAACAAGGACAGTTGTCACTCAATACATTTCTCATTTTTGCTTGATGTGTGGTTGATTTATTTGTTTTGAATAGCCAGTTAACTTTACAGATTGTTATTTTTCTCGGAGGAATGTGTTTTGTGTCGGTTTTTCCAAACTTTAAACTTTTTATTGAATATATTATTTTGTTATAATTATAGTATAAGAATCAAATTGGTCGATTTCGTTTCACACCTGGAATATGGCCCATTAAGTCTATGTTATGGTCTTGCATGATGTGTTCGACCTAAACCCCCCTCGGTGTGAACGACAACAAAAATGTACTATCGTTCATGCTATAAATTATACCCCAGCAGGCAGTAATGTCAAAGCTGGATTGGCAATATGTTTGTCCGAGCAAACCACTAAAGCCTATGAACTATATGTGCTAAGCATGCATGTTCAATCTATCTACCATGTTTCGAATTGGAATGCTTGTTAACGGTCTCATTTATGACACACACAAAAACAGATTTATCAGGCTGCGACCAACGACAAGCACTGAATTGCAGGCTCCTGATTTTGGACAGACACATACAGAATTTGGCGGGGTTAAACATATTTGTGATCCTTCGATCCACCCCTTACCTGGACAATTGTGTAACAACACAGCATAAGAACAATCTGTAAAAAAACAGTTGGAAATGGCTTGACTCATCAAATCGGCATGAAGCACAATAACAACTAACACGAGGACAAAAGACACAAAGTACCGATCTAAAAGTATTCGCCGTTAATAGGGTACGACCATTTTATATTTGGAAAAAAAGGGGCCAGGGCTGGCGACAGGAAAATTGTTTTCCGGATTGACCTTTTTTTTTATCTGTTGCTACGCATGCTTATTTTTTTCCCTCGTTATTTTCACTTTTGTACACATTTGGATCCTTCACTATCCTGCATTTAATGTTGCAGAGTATTCATTTTCATCCTGTCTTGTGTAAAGTCATTTATTTTCAGTTCATACAAGGCCAAGTTATTCATTTTCAAAATCCTCTTCCCCCTTTCGAAATCAAATGGTCGTCCCCTTACTGAAAACTAATGAAAGGACGTCATCAATAATCTGAGAAAAGTATGATCATAAACATCATTACCGTAAAAACTATGATTCTACAGGTACAGCATGCTTTACTGCCTGAATTATGTCGAAAGTCTTAGAGAACCCAAGTCAAGAGCAGGCATATTAGTGGTTGTCATTGGTTCAAGTCTGTCATATTTGTTTTTCGTAAATTGTTTTGTTATAAATTAGGTCGTTGTTTTTCTCAAATGAATTGTTTCATATTTTTCATGTCGGGGCCTTTTATAGCCGATTATACGGTATGAGTTTTTCTCATTGTTGAAGGCCGTACGGTTGCCTATAATTTCTTACTTCCACTAGTACTTCATTTGATCTTTGATGGACAGTTGTCTCATTGGCAATCATACCACATCTCTTTATTTATATATGAGCTGTAACGGATATAAATGTACCTTATGCAAGTGCATGTATACATGTACATGTATAAAACTTTGGTTGATTTTAGACCATGCAAAAGGTCTGTTTTGTTTTGAAAACTCAATTTTCAAACAGTTACAGACTTTCCGTAGAGATTTGTTCAACCCGACGTAGGTTAACAGATGTATTGATAAGTATTTGTATAAGTCGATTTCTACCCGACGTAGCTCATATTATACATATACAACAAGTATTGCATAAAAATTAACATTATCAATGTTCCATGTAAATGAGGTCAGTTGAACTCTGCCACAAAGACATGTACATCTTGCTATCATTCCATACACCAGATATATTTGACCCACTACTTATATAGTATCTGAGATACGGACTTGACCACGGAAACTTAAAATTGTTCACTGATCCATGAAATGAGGTCGAGTCAGGTGAACCATGTCTGACGGACATGTAGACCTTGCAAGGATAGCATATATTAGTAACCAACCAAATATAGTTATCCTAGAACTCATGATAATTGGGACATTCACATGACGAAAAAAAAAGCTATACATTTTTTAGCAGTCACTGAACCATGAAAATGAGGTCAAGGACAATGACTATATGAAAGAGGGAAGTTTCGTAACACAATGGATCTATATACAAAGTATGAATCGTCCAAATCCTCTATCCTCTGAAATATAAAGCTATACAAATATAGTTTACGCCGTTGCCGCCGCCCCCACCATGAGATTGTATTCTCTATGCCTCGCATTTTGCGACTTGCGTCGAATGCGAGTTAAAAAAGAACAACTGAAAGTAGCCCTATGACCTAGACCTGGTCGGTGGACTTTCAACTTAACAGTAGACAATGAAACGTAATAGCTACTACTAGCTTCGGCAATTTTTACGTTGTTTACAAGTGTTTACAAAATACATCGATGCTGTACATAACCCTCTGTTTGTAGATAATCTTTAGCTTCATGTCAATTGTAGGCCAATTTATGCTCAAAAAGTCATATAAGTATGTAAGATGGAGTGATTAACCTGTTTCTAATTGTCATTTTATTTTCATAAATTTGACAGACACCCCTCCCCCTTTTTCACCGTTTGCAGTATATCTTATATCTTTGAAGCAAAGATATACTCAGACCTGCTAATTCAATCCATTCTGCGTTAATATTGTACCATATTTGGGGAACTAAGTACAATTTGATGTGCTTCAACACTCACCAAAAAAACTGGACATTTACCCAGAAAATCATTACATACACCTTCTATCAAAAGACGGAAAAATAACATTTTGGGTGGGCAACACATAAATGTTAATATCTAAAAAAAAAAACATCTCTAGGGATCACTTGTATCGAATCTTATGTAAAAATTCCGAATCTGGAAATTTCAATAAGTCAAGGTCACTGTAATTGAATGAAAATTGTAAATGTGCACCTTATAAGGACAAATGTCAATCTCAAATCATATTTGGCAACAGAAATATCAAATTACAGTAACTCCTAGATATAGAAACTATAGTTATGATTCTTTGAATTCTTTGAATTCATTTCGCTCTAATCGCATATATGTAGGGGCAGCCAGCTGTCTAAACGTGACTCTGCGATTTCCCTGAAATTTTAGCTTCGATATTTCGATGGGGCTTGTTCTCCTCTTTCCAATGATATAAAATACAGCCGTGTGTAATTCCGTTAACCCAAAATCGATCAAATTCGTTGACTGCGCACCCTTCTATAAGTCCTTATGTCTAAAAATTATAATTTGGATCTGTTCACATGTGGTGTTGGTTTAAACTTGTCGATCTGGTGGTTGTGCATATTACCAGTTTCATTTTTGTAAATCCATTCCAGTCAATTTTCATATGGTTCATTGTTTTGCCATTCCTCTTTAGGCATAAGCATTCACGAACATATGTATCACCGCTACATGTTAATGTGCTCGTGTGATGCCAGGACTCTTGTAATCATTTGTTCTACGTTATAACCTAAATGAAGCGATTTGTTCTTGCTTTTTAATTTCTTCAGATTTAGTTTACTTTCGATCCAGTCTTTTTACATTTTTGAATTCAATAAGGTGACCTGTTTATGTTATATTTCACGCCGTTTAGCTTTTAATGGAGTATTGTCGTACTGAAATTTTTCTTATATTTATATATGTTACATGAAAG